GCCCCTCCCGCCGCCTGCTCTGTACCAGCCCCTGGCCCGCCTAGCCCACTTCCAGGACTGCGGCCAAAACTGCTTCCTGCCCCGGCTCCCAGGCCTGCCCTGGCCGGTTCCTCCCCAGGAGCTGTCACCTTTTTGGAGCACTTCCTGTGACTTCTATTTTTTTCTCCCTTTGCCCCTTAATCTGTTTTTCCCTGCTTCCCCGGCCCCCACCCCCACACAGCTGGAAGGCCTTCTCTGCTTTCTTCCCTGCTTCCTCCTGAAATCCCCTTGTGCCCGCCCCCATCCTTTGCTGGCTGGCTTGGCTGCGCCCACACCCCTCCCGCCCACGCGGCCTCCTCCGGTCCTGGCTACTGCTGCTGGTGGCCCTGAGTGTCGGGGAGCCCCATGGGGCACTCTGGTGGGTCGCTTGGTCCCTTTGCTCCCCAAGACCACAGCTTCCCAGCCAGACCCTTTGCTCCCACGTGGCCCTGTCCACACCCCTGGGCTCGAAAGGGAAGGGCAGTACCTCCTCCAACTCCTCTGCCTTAGCACACCCTGGTGCCACCCTGCCCCAGTGGGAGTCAGGTGGTGGTGTGCGCGCGGGGAGTTCCTTTAAGAGCTCAGTCTGGACCTTGGCTGGGCACAAGCCCCCTGCCCTTGGGAGAGTCCCCCGACCCCATCTAAGTGTTTCTCCCCTCCACCGCGGGAACTGGAGCCCAGCCTGGCTCCCTGTCTGCACCTTCTTGTCTCTTTCTCCCCGACGTCTCTGCCCAGTGAGGGCAGTCCCCTGCCCTGCTTCTCACCCTTCTCTCACTGGCCACATAGCTCTGGCAGCGTCGGCTGTGCATGCGCTGTCTGCTTGCTGCTCTGGGGGGCGTCTGCCCCCACGGGCCCACCTGGCTGGGGCTGGCACAGGGGAGCTCCAGGGCCACACAGCGCCCCCTCTCTCCGGGCAAGGCTGGTGCCCCGCCTGGCTTGACTTGTTAAACAGGTCAGGTCTTCTCCCACTCCTGCCTGGGGAGAGAAACCTTGTGGTTTCGGAGGGCAGAAGACAAGGAAGGGAAAACACATACATGCGCCCTCTCCCGCATGAGAGGGCCCGTCTGGTATGCAGCGATGGGGCGGCTGTCCCCCTCGTCCACTGGCACCGGCCTCCCTGGCTCAGATCCAGCCCCTGTGACATCAAGGCCCCTGCTGCCCTCCCCAGCACTCCACCTGTTAGGCTCTTCCCTGCGCGCAGGGCAGGACCCAGGCTCAAATCCTCTGGGGCTAAGGAGAGGACCAGTGGCTCCTAGAACTGAAAACGTCCAGTTTGTGTTTTGAGCACCCCCAGGCAGGGCTGGCAAGGGTCTGGCCCCAAGCGACCCCTTTCCACCCTGACACTATGGTGGCTGATCCTGGCTTCCCCTCCCATCCTCACAGCCACCCACATCAGGCGGGGTGAGCTGGCACCAAGGCCATATCTATTTGTCATACCCATCCTAACTTCTTCCTTCTGTGGCTAACCCCCAAATGAGTCTCGGCTGGTAAGTTTCCACGTCACCTCCTCCAAGAAGTCTTCCCTGATCTGCCATGCCTCTCACTCTGTGCTCAGCCACACCCACCCTGTGAGAGCTATGTCTATGCAGAGAGCCTGTGCTCATAGCATCGAGGTTGTGGTATGTGTTGGTATGTCCACTCCCACTAGCAAGTGAAGGGCTCAAGGATGGAACTCTGGACCTAATACAGAGCCTGGAAGAAGTCATGGCTCATAACCCTTGTTGGACACATGAATGAGTGAACGAATGAAGGAGCGAGTGAATGAATGACTCGCCAGGCAGGGCCAGGTCGTTTTGAAGGTGGTGCTGGGGACTCAGTGATGCTGGGGACGCAGTGGTACTGAGACTAGGTGATACTGAGACTAGGTGATGGTGGGAGGTGGTGTTGCTGGGAGGTGGTGACACAGGAGAATGTAGCCCTTCTTCCCCATCTGGGTCCCTCAGTGAGGACCAGGAAGGATGCTCGTGGCTGCCAGTGGACATGAGAACTAGGTGGAAAGGAAAGCTGGCCCCAGGGGAGCGAGGGCTCCCCACAGCTGCAGGCCTAATGGGAGCAGCTTAAAGGGATTAGCTGACAGGAGGAGGCTGGAGAAGCTAATTATAAAGTGTGTATGCCAGCGATGAGGCAGGACTCTAAGGCTTTTTGTGCAGAGATTTTGAAAATGACAGAACAGGGGCCGGCGCTGTGGTGTAGCGGGTAACACTGCCGCCTGTGATGACAGCATCCCATATGGGCGCTGGTTCGAGTCCTGGCTGCTCCACTTCTGATCCAGCTCTCTGCTATGCCCTGGGAAAGCAGTGGAGGATGGCCCAAGTTCTTGGACCCCTGTACCCACTGGGGAGACCCAGAAGAAGCTCCTGACTCCTGACTTTGGCCTGGCCCAGCCCCGGCCATTGTGGCCATTTGGGGAGTGAACCAGAGGATGGAAGATTCTCTCTCTCTCTCTCTCTGTTTTCCTGTCTCTAACTCTTTCAAATAAATAAAGCTTTAAAACTATAGAAAAATTGGCAGAAGAGTTCTCTTCCTTACAGGTGGAGATGTTCAGCCTACGGCCATGTCAAGCCCGGGAAGTTACTAAATCTGGCCTTGCCAAGGCAGCTGCAGGCGGGACTCGAAATTCAATACATCTATAGCAGGCTCGTTTTTAAATGGATCATTTAGTGTGACCCACAGACGATGTTGCAAATCCCCAGAAGGCCCTTGGCAGAAAAATGGTGCCCCACCCCTGCATGGAAGGGGGCGGGGCACCACCAAACCCTTCAGTTGGCCTTGACGGCCACACCCCGGAAGGCCAGGCTTACTTGTCCAGCGCAAGTAGCAAGGGTCCTGGTATGGTTCTGAGTCACCTGTAAGCTGGGGAAGCCTCACTGATCATAATTATTCATTTTGTTATTGTTATTTTTTTTTTTACAGGCAGAGTGGACAGTGAGAGAGAGAGAGAGAGAGAGAAAGGTCTTCCTTTTGCCGTTGGTTCACGCTCCAATGGCCGCCGCGGCCGGTGCACGGTGCCTATCTGAAGGCAGGAGCCAGGTGCTTCTCCTGGTCTCCCATGGGGTGCAGGGCCCAAGCATTTGGGCCATCCTCCACTGCCTTCCCTGGTCATAGCAGAGAGCTGGCCTGGAAGAGGGGCAACCGGGACAGAATCCGGTGCCCTGACCGGGACTAGAACCCGGTGTGCCGGCGCCGCTAGGCGGAGGATTAGCCTATTATTGAGCCGTGGTGCCAGCTTGTTATTGTTATTATGTGTTAGGTTATTGCAGCCTGGTTCCGGGATGAAACTGAAATATTGGCATTACGAATAGGATAGCCCTCAACTTACAGGGTCTCTGCTGTAGTTTTTTGAGTTTATGATGGTGCAAAAATGACACCCCCCATTCAGTTGGAACCTCACGACCATTTGTGAGCTTTGATCTTTTCCCAGGCTAGTGACAGTGTGGTCGGAGAGCTACAGTGCCTGGCGATGGGATCGTAGATGATTCCTACTCTCCTGTGTGCTGTGCTGCCGAGTGAGGGTGTTCAGACTGCATTACCAAGTGCGTGTTCAACTTAGGGTGGGTTTATCAGGCAGGAACCCCATCCTGGCCCTCTGCTGTGCCAAGTATGGGGTTGGGCGCTGTGGGGGAGTGCAGGTTCCGCTTCCAAGGCCTTGGTGGGGTTGACCAGAAAGGAGGCAGGCTTAGGATGTGGGAACCGTCAGGGAAGCTGCCCCAGAAATGGACGGTGCTCTGGGCTGGGGGTGGGGGGAAGTTTGTGGGGCAAGGCTCCACAGGGAGGGAAGGTGAGGCCGGCTGCAGAAGGATGCCCCCCTGTTCAGGCGGAAGCTCTGAGCCGGGTGGCTGACTCAGAGCAAGGGGGCTTTTTAAACGGGAACGCAGCAGGTGGGGAGGCTTGAGGGGGAAGCTGGGCCAGATGGAGGAAGCCCTGGAGTTGGGGGATAAAGGGCACACACTGGGGAGACACTGGAGCTTTTAGGGAACAGGCAAAGTCCAGTTACAAGCTGGGTTTCAGGGCACACAGGCCAGCAGGGGCGCAGACTGTGGTCATTTGGGACGGGAAGAGCATGTGACAGTCAAGGGTCCTGTGGGAGGTAGTGGGGCTGTGGTAGCGGAGTCAACAATGGGGTGAATGGCTTTGAGTCTACCTTGGCTGGTCCAAGCCCCAGTCTTCCGAGTCCGTGGCAGTGGGCCAACATGGACCCGTCGGTGCACCTGGTAAAGACTTGGGGACATGTTAGGGCGAGCGTTAGGCTCATACAAAAGCAAACATCACCCGACAATGAAGAAAAACACAAGACATCAAGTGGTAGCATCCTCTCTGGGTTACAGACACAGAGATCCAAGCCTCTTCGTCAGTGACCCTTGACCCTGGGAGAATTGGGACCAGTGCTTTCTGACTCTGCCCTCTTCCCTGATAGCTGGTGGGTGGGGTCCAGAGAGGTGAGTCATTCAGGGGACCTCAGCAGAGGGGTCCGTGCCACCCAGGTTCCGGACTCTTTGGCCAGTGTTCCTTTTTTTTTTTTTTTTAAGTTTTTTTTTTTTTTTTTTTTGAAAGTTAGAGTTACACAGAGAGAGAAGGAGAAGCAGAGAGAGAGGTCTTCCATCTGCTGGTTCACTCCCCAAATGGCAACAACAGCCAGAACTGCGCCGATGATCCAAAGCCAGGAGCCAGAAACTTCTCCCAGATCTCCCACATGGATGCAGGGGCCCAACGACTTGGGCCGCCTTCCACTGCTTTCCCAGGCCATAGCAGAGAGCTGGATCAGAAGTGGAGCAGTGGGACTCGAGCCTGCGCCCATACAGGATGCTAGCACTGCAGATGGCGGCTCTACCCTCTACGCCACAGCGCCGGCCCCACATCCGGTGTTCCTAAACCTGCATTTTGTGGTCTCTACCCACCTCTTCAGATTAGCTACTAAAGTATTCAGAGGAGTTCAAGGTTCATAGCCGAGGGGAAGGAAAAGAGCAAGAGGAATGAAGGGAATAAGGACTTGCTGCGCCTGCTCTAGGCCAGTGCTTTATTTGCGTAAACCCACTCAGTGGTTCCAACCGCTCTGCAGTGACTGTAGCTCCCTGACTGATGACCTTATTGGCCTCCTGGGCCACCCAGGTAGGAAGTGGTGGGGCTAGGATTTGAACTCAGATCTGTCCGATAGCAGACCTTTGCCCTCCCTTCTATTCCACCAATGGATTCACCTGACTCCCAGGGTGAGTGAGGCGAACTTGGGGAGGGCAGGAAACACCTCATACAGCCAGGGGGATACAGGAGATGCAAGGCCTGGCCTTTTTCTCTGACTTGCCTCTTCCTTTGCACCTTGCAGCTCCCCAGGTCTCTGCGCCATGAGTGGTGCCCCAAGCCACCGGGAGTGCCTCCTGCCCGCCGTGGCGCGCGCCCTCTCTGCCACCCAGGTCACACCTGCCAAGAAGATAACCTTCCTCAAGCGGGGGGACCCCCAGTTTGCAGGGGTGCGCCTGGCGGTCCACCAGCGCACCTTCAAGACCTTCAGCGCCCTGATGGACGAGCTCTCTCAGCGCGTGCCGCTGGCCTTCGGGGTACGCTCTGTCACCACGCCCCGCGGCCTGCATGGCCTCAGTGCCCTGGAGCAGCTGCAGGATGGGGGCTGCTACCTCTGCTCCGACAAGCAGCCCCCCAAGACCCCTGGCTGGCCGGGGTCGCTGGATTCCGAAGGCCAGGGCGAGGCGCCAGGAACAACCTCTTCTTGGAAGGGCCCCAAAGCCCCGAGGAGGATGACACTCGTTAAGAACGGGGACCCTCGGCTCCGGCAGACAGTGGTTCTGAGTCCTAGGAACACCAGAAACCTGGCGGCCTTCCTCAGCCAGGCCTCGGCGGCCCTGCGCTTTCCTGTGAAGCAGGTGTACACCGTGAGTGGGAAAAAGGTAGGTGCTCGGGCTCTGAAATTGCTTTGACAATGCTTTTTGGACCCCAGGTCCAAATCCTTAGATGGAATGGAGGTGGTGGTGGTATCATTATTCCTTTAAAAGAAGTCCTTGACTGTGCTACTACTCATTTTATAAAGGTGCAGGGCCGGAGACATTCGGTCAAGTCAGTCTCTCCACAAGCAAATGTTATTCACATTTGTAGCTTCCATTTAGGACACATTTTCTTTTCTAGTCCTTTCAACAAACTCTTTCCATGGGCGCTCAGTGCAGGAAACAGAAGCTACTCAAGGTCCCTTAAGCACAGAGTGCTTCAGTTTTACTATTAGGGAGCTTCCAGAATTTTGGGGAGCTGGAGAGTGACCTTGAAACTGGTTCTCCACAGATGGCTTCCAGTATCCTGCCGGAAGCTACTACCTGTGCTGGAAGTCACTGAGTTCAAGAGCCCTTCTCTGTAGCATCCAAGTTTATACAGTTGGATTCAGGAAGTGAGATCATAGACACCTAATGAATTCATTTAGCTAGCAAAGACCAAAGTGACTGGGATGGAAAGCAAAACGTGGCTAAGTCATGGATTGGATGCTATGATTGGAGGAACTGCTGTATGTGTAGCCCATGAATTTGTAGTCCTGGGAGAAATAGCACGATGAACCTGTTGCCAATTTGGAATATACATCACATCCTGTAAGGCAATGCCTCAACAGCACCAAGAGATGCCTTTCAGCTGGTGTCCAAACTGAGTCTTCCACAGTATTCTGGAACATTGTCCAATGTTCTGTAAGTTATAGCTGCTTTTGGGTGATGCAGTCCACCGGTCCTGGCCTATTATCTTATACTTTTCACTGTAAAATCAGTTCTATGGATACAAGACATCTTCATGGGTTATGGCAATGCTGAGTAAGAATCCCGTAAGTCCACCAAAAGGATGATGGGCAAGGGACAACATCGGCCCCAAATCAGCATCTATTCCGGTGACCACAAACTGCTGACCGTCTCCTTGAGAGAGGGAGGGGTTCATGTCATAGCTTTCCATCGGGTGCTGAGTCCCTCAAGGAATGAAACTAGGGATTTAGCAGTGGTCTCTGCCCCCCCGCAGATGAGGCCCCAAGCAGAGGTGGTAGCCAGATTTACATGAACGAGGTCGAGTTTGTGTTGCTAATTCGTGGTACTTTGTCACTTTGTCATGAATTTATGGCACCTGCCTCGTAGTAGTTAGAGAAGAAGGGTGACTGACATCCACTGAGAAGATCTGCTTGTCCATGCAATTGTCACCTTTGGGTGTGCACTCACATGGGGCATGAGTGTTCCCACCCCCTAGGCCAACTGTGAGAGACACACTCACAATTCTTGTCTAGACTGCCTTGTCCCTGTCCTCCTGTCCTGTTCCTGCCAAGTCCCTGGTTGTCAGATTGAACTGCTGGCCACTGCTGATAGTTGTTACAGGGTCTCTTGCCATTTCTCCTTCCATGAGGAATACTCAACCAAAGCACACTCTCCCCTGGACTTTCCTTCCCTGTACCCTAATGGCCCCTAAGTGGGTCTGTTATGCTAAAAGCCAGCTGTGGTCATGTCAGTAAACTCTGCGACTTCTCTGAAACACGGATTCAGATATCTTCTTCAGTGAATGGATCCCAGGGAATTTCCTGGGAAGTCCTGGGTATCTGCTGAGGCAAGGGGGCAGGGCAGCAGGAGCAGGTGACCTGGGAATGGAAGCCACCTGCTCAGGGAACCGACGTGTCAGTTCCAGCTTCTTGAGCCTGGTGCAGTGCCTGTCTCCTCCAACTTTATGCCCAGTGCTGCTTCAACACTCCTGCTTTATGGCGCGATGGATCACCTAACTCTCAATTCAGTTGTACAAGGGCACTCCAAAGAATTCATGGAAAATGGAATTCAAAGAATTATTTGGGTTTGTGCAAACATTCTGAAACCCATGTCTATGAGGTTTTGTATAAATGTATATTATGAAAAAGCTCGGCATAGATTTCAAAATTCTGGGCAGCAAGAACAACTTATCTTTTAATTTCAATTTCTCATGAGTTTTCTTGAAGTACCCTGTATTTTGCAACCAGAAGAATCAGTCTCTGCATCTGAGGTTTGGCAACCAGAGAACAGCAGCCCCCAAGTCCTCTGGACATGCTTGAATGGAGAGTTTAGAGCATGAACTTGGCAATTTTTTGAAAGTCAGAAGCCGCCAGCCTTCTCCGTAGCCCCCGCAGTTCCTGTTCTACTAGTCCATCCTGGCAGCAGTGGGAGTCAACGTTCTCCAGTGCTTCTGCTTTCAGAAGTAACCACTGGAGAACCGACTTTGTCACTGTATGCCACGGGCTCTTAGTGTCCCCTTGTCACCAGGTGTAACCACCTTCAGATCCAGCCAGGTCAGAAGGCCAACCCCAGACTCCGTTACGAAGCTCTACGATCCTTGGCCAACTCTGATGTCACGCACTGTACCAGCCGTGGTTCAGCACAGGAAGCAGAGTCCTCTCTCAGTGTCTTAGGCTGGAAGAAATTCTACTGGAATCTGGATGCTACAAGATTCATGGAAAGGCTGGAAAAGCTGAGGCTGAATTCCTGGAAAAATTCCCCCGTCAAGGTCAACACCTCTAACACAATCAAGAAAGTGGGTTGTTGGGGGTCATTATTACAACGATCGGGTTCAACAGCACCCCCCCCCCCATTGCTGTGATCCAGAATGGGATCAGTCTTCTTTCAACGGCTGTGAAGCTAACGAGTGGGTACCGGAACAGTGAGGGCGGCTCTTGCCCTCCCAGCTGCACACGCTCCTCTGCGCCTTTCACTGCCGTTGCTTGTGGCAGCAGTCAAAAGAAAAAGGAAGATGGTCTCTGCTCCACTGCCGTATATTCTGTCTCATGCAACTGCTGGAATCTTTGATGCTATAAACTCTAGCTGCAAGGGAGTTCAGGAAACGGCTTTCCAGCTCCTAAGCTCTGCAGTACTGGAAAGTACCCATGAAAGAAAGTGGGAGAGAACTGCCTTAGTCTAGGGCTTAGCATCCAGCACACACAGCCATGAGGTGGCTAACATTCTTACCCACTTCCTTTTTATTTTTAAAGATTTATTTATTTGTTTGAAAGAGTTACACAGAGAGAGGAAAGGCAGAGAGAGAGAGAGGAGAGAGAGAGAGAGGTCTTTCATTCGCTGGTTCACTCCCCAGTAGGCCGCAACAGCCAGAGCTGGTCTGATCCAAAGCCAGGAGCCAGGAGATTCCTCAGGGTCTTCCCACATGGTGCAGAGGCCCAATGACTTGGGCCATCTTCCACTGCTTTCCCAGGCCATAGCAGAGAGCTGGATCAGAAGAGGAGCAGCGGGACTCGAACCAGCACCCGTTTGGGATGCTGGCAGTGCAGGCGGTAGCTTTACCAGCTACTTACAGCTCTGGCCCCCTTACCCACTTTCGATAAACCAGAAAAGTGAAACACAGAGGCTAATAACTTATTCATGATCGTGTGGTTGGCAAATAATAGAGCCAACATTAATGACCAAAGACATGATGCAAGCATGCTTTTTAGTTATTGTGCCTTTACCGGTGCCATCATGTGCTATGGTGTGAACGCAGAAAAGTAGGACTAGATGCTCACAGCTTACTACGTGTAGTGAGGGGGGAGAAGAGGTAGGAGATAAGTAATACGTTGGAGAAACAGATAGTAGGATGTTTTCACATAGACTTACTGAAAAGTTACTGAGCATTCCGTAAACAGAATGAACTCCCTGCTCCCCAGGGAGGGTCCCTCAACAGATGGGTGCTGGCTCTTGCCCTTTCTCCCATGGATTCTCTCTCTCCCCAGGGACAGGAACATTGTTTAGCCCTCAGTTCCATCTTCCTCCCTGGAAGCATAGCTACTTGTATAAATCGATAGACTTGGGTCATGTCCATGTTTTTATGAGGGACTGGAACTCTAAAAGGAGAACCATGCCTAGTAGTTGAAAAAAACTTCTAATCAACCAGAATGAAAGATCTGGTATATAGTACATTTCCATGTTGTTTTTGCAGGAGAGGGTCTAAGGGCTCTCTCTTTTTCATTTCCTTGCTAGTGAGCCTACGCTTCTAATTTGAGATCATGAAAAGGAACGCATTCTGCCCTTAAAGATGGAAACAAATGCCCTAAATCGCTAATTACAATGCTGTGCTACCAACAGGGCAAGCCCTCAGCTAGACAGGGGCCTCTGGAGCCAGGCGGGATTTTTGAAAAGCAGGGACCTGTTCCCTAATCTAGCAGCGATATTGCTTACTCAACTCTGAGCCCAAGACTGTGCAGAGGGGCATCCTGCTGGTGGGTCCTGTGGGTGGGTGGGGGCAACAGCCTGGAGTCCACTATTCTTTTTTAAAGAAAAATTTGTATTTATGTTATTTATTTGTAAGATAGAGAGAGAATCTGTCATCTGCTCGTTCACTCCCCAAATGGCTACAATAGCCACGGCTGAGCCAGGCTGGAGCCAGGAGCCAGGAGCTTCATCTGGGTCTCCCCCTTTGGTGCAGGGGCCCAAGCGCTTGGACCATCCTCTGCTGCTTTCCCAGGCGCATTAGCAGGGAGCTGGATCAGAAGTGGAGCAGTCAGGACTCGAATGGGTGTTCATATGGGATACTGGGGTCTCAGGCGGTGGCTTTGCCCGCTACACCACAGCACCAGCCCCAAGACCATTGACCCTGGAATTCTAGGAGTTTGGAAGGGAAGGATTCACCTGAGGGCTGGTGGCGCCTCTCCCCTCTCCACTGCACTAGGGCAGAGTCAGAAGCAATGGGCTTGGAGTGTCCTGGCAAAGAGGATCAGACAGAGAGGTGACCCTCTACCAGGGAAAAGGTGACCCTCTGCCAGGCTCTGATCCCAAGTGGAAGCTGGAGGGCTCTCTGGCTCTCAGGAAATACCTATTCCGGGGGCGTACGTGTGACCAGAGAAGCAGCCTAACAGCTCTGCTGTCATCTGCAGAGGCACGCAGGTTGACCTTTGGTAGAGGGCGGGCTGGGGGTAGAGGCGGGACATCCTGGGCAATGACCATGGGAGACCACCAGCTAGTGACAGAGGTGCTATGGAGGCACCTGGATTCCTCCACTGGGTCCGGGGCCGAGGGTGAGAAGTGAGGGAGTGGGAAAGGCCAGGAGAGCCCGTGCTCTTTCTGCCCGGGGCTCCTGGCTCCTGGCTCCTGGCTCAGCGCTCTCCTCCCTCAGGTGGACTCGCTGCAGTGTCTCCTGCGCTGCCCCTCGACGCTAGTGTGTGCTGGTGACGAGGCCTTCAGACCTCCAGTGATGGAAGATGCCAGAAGAAATGGGACAGAAACCTTACCTGGGCTGTCTTCCAGGAGCAAAACTGGTGAGTTATGGGGGGGAGTAGGGATTCCCCAGTCTCATTTGCCCTGCCGATGTGCCGTAGACCCGGGCAGACGCCCATTCCGATAACCTGGGAAACGCGCCTCCGGCCCCAGCTCTTGGGTGTTCCAGGTGTTTGGGGCTCTCTTTGTTTCTTCCTCCTCCTCTTCATCACCATCAACCTTAACTGGGTGAACCATTTGATGGGGAGGATATGAAGGAGCCGAGCATGGTGCTTAAATGGAGCGTTCATAAGGAGATGTTGACCTTGAGGTTGCTAGGGTCTAAAACAACTTTTACTAAGAGTCACGTTGGGCCGTGAACCATGACTACATGGCATTTTTCATCCTTTAAGAGTCATGGCCGTCTTTGGAAAGATGGGAGTTGAAAAGGGCTAAAGGAAACTACGATCACCCACCATCCAGCCTCCTTGGCTGACTTCCTCAGCCCAGCTGCACCCACAGAGCTCAGGCTCTGCTGGCCCCGGCCCCTGGCCTCACGTCAGCAAGGCGATGAGAGGGGAAAAGCACTCAGGGCCTTCATTTCTTAAGGCCCCCTCTCCCACCCTCTTCTCTTCTTGTGCTGGCTGGGGTGCAGGCTTGCCTGTCAGCAGCTGATCCTGTGTGTCCGGGTCCTTCTTTGCAACCATCCATCACCCCAGGGCTTGATGAGTGTTGGGATGATAAATCACCACTAATAACCACAAAGCATTTTACAGTTTACAATCAGGTCCGTGGGCGGCGTCTTATTGATCCGCCGCCTTGGCTGGGGGTGGGCTCCTGCGTTTGCTCCACCTGCCGCCTCTGTGGTGGGGGACCTACCGAAGCTAGCAGAGCTATGTAGGGAATGTCACATGCATGGCTGCACGTCCACAAAGCAGACCTAACAAATCTCCGTGACCGTGCATCCGTCCCGGCCCAGAACACAGGCTCTGCCCAAAGCTGCCCAGCCGCTAAGAGCAGAGTTGAGACTGCGCTCAGATTCAAGTCCACTCAGCTGGGCCACTAACGGGCAGCTCTGTGTACAGCCCTTCTAGAAAGGCCCGCCCTCACTGTGGCTTTGGAGGCAGAGATAATTAGGTGGTAGACTGCCCGTGACCACTTGGGGCAGCTCCTGATCCTTTCTCCTTTTCTCTCACTCTTTGCTGCGTGCCAGGGAGCTGGGGGCCAAAGGCCAAGCAGAGCGTGATGCACTCACGGTCCGGGTCGGGCAGCGGCCGGCCACGGCGGCTTTCCCCGCTGTCAGAGACGTCTGCCCCCCACCGGCCCCCCGCCTCTCTCCACCGTGCCCAGGGGGCCCCTGCTCCCGACAGACACCTTCGCGACACACCTGCCGCACCCGGCCCCTTGGTGGCCGGTGACGGCGTGGAAAAGAAGGTTCATCTGAATGAGGACGGCAGCCTGTCCGTGGAGATGAGGGTGCGCTTCCAGCTGCTCGGCCAGGACGCGCTGCTGTGGTCCCAGCGGGTGGGGCGGGCCGGCGCCCTCACAGCAGCCAGCAGGGAGGACCTCAGCCTTGGGGAGGCAGACCCCCCCTGCTGCACCTGGCAGGGCCACCCTTGGGGCTTCTCAGAGCCTGGGGCAGGGGCGTCAGGGCCATGTGAGGCGGGATTCAAGTGCGCCTTAGGCCATGGCCAGCAGCCGGGGCCCAGTTACGAGATCTGGAGGAACCCCCTGTACGCCTCCCAGGGTGAGCAGCCGGCTGCTGAGAAGAGATCTGGGCTGGCCCCGCGCGCCTGCGGCAGGCGCCGCTGGAGCCGTGGGACAGCTGGGAAGCACGGACGTGGCCAGGACAGCGCCAGCCCAGCCTCCAGTGCGGGACACTCCGAAGGCTCTGAGCAAGACACCTGCAGCAGCCCCAGGACCGTGGGGGGTGGCGTGAGCAGTGGCAGCCTGCATCCAGCCTCTGCCTCCCCAGCCAGGGGACCTGGAGAGGGCCCCCAAGGGAGCCCCAGCCCACGTTCCAAGGGAGGAAGGCTGGCTGGCGGGGGGCCACGCAGCTGCCTGAGACCGGAGACTGGAGACACAGATGAGGCCGACTCTGACTCGTCAGCCAGTGCTGGGCCTCTAGAGAGGCCCAGCGAGCAGGGTGAGCAGCTCCGGGGCTGCCAGTGGCAGACAGGGGCCATGCCTTCCCAGCGGCTGTTGGCACAGGGTGGCAGCCTCGGGGCTCCCACTCTGAGCCCCTCATCTCTGGGGACTGAAGATCTGCAGGCAGAGAAGCCCGGACAGGACACCGGGCATGACCAGGCCAGGGGTGGGGCTGTAACGGGGCTGCTGCTGGCTCCAGGTCATCCTGGCCCTGGGGACACAGAAGGAGGCTGCTCCCCACTCCCTGCCTGTGCCTCGGCCCGGCAGGGGAGGAGAAGGCAGAGGAGCCCAGCTAGCGCTGTGTGCTCACCTCGCTCTCCCGGCCGAGTGTGCTGCCACCACAGGGACGCCCCCTGCCTGCTCCACGCACCTGCAGCCCTGCAAGCGCCGAGGCCACCCGACAGAGGCGGGGCCAGCCCAGGAGGCCCAGTGCCACCCTTTTCTGAGAATGTGTTGATGAGCAGGAAACAGGTCTCTGGGGACCTGAGACCTCCCTCCCCGGGCTCTCTTTACTCCCAGGAGCCCTCAGGAGCCCGCAGTGTCACCCTCACCCCCGTGAGTAACTCAGACTGTGCTTCTAGTGTGCACCCCACCAGCACTCCCTCTGCGGAGCCAGCAGGCGACATCAAGTACAGAGAGCACCCTCCAGCTCCTGCACTTGCACACACACCCCACCCCTGCCCACAGGCTGGCGCTGGCAGGCAGCGGGGAAAGACAGGGGGCACCCCTAGGCCCTCCCCACCCTTGGTTCTGCTGGCCGGACAGCCTGAAGCAGGGGAGCCAGGAGCCCAGCAAGGTCACAGCTGCTCCCCAATCGGGACACCGGCTTCCTTCCCTGAAGGCGCCTGGGCGTGCAGCGGGTACTGCCCCACTCCCCCTGAGGGGCGGCCCTCTGCCAAGAAGCCCCCTTTGAGCCCAAGGAACACCAGCAGTGGCGACCAAAGTGCTGATGACTGGGAGTCAGGTGGGGATGAACAGGGGGAGGAGCAACTCGAGGTGGGGCCCACGCCGCTCCTAGGCCCTGGGTCAGCGGCAGCAGGGAGAAGGGTCAGGAGCAGCCTGAGCCCCAGTGCTGGGCCCGGGAGGGCATTAGAGGGGAAGGCGGCCAGCGCAGGGCAAGGCCTTGAGGGGCTGGAGGATGACGGCAGCGTGACACCCAGCGCCCTGCCCCACGCCTCACCAGACGCCGTGGTCCGCGAGTGGCTGGGCAACATCCCGGAAGAGCCCGTGCTCATGAGATACGAGATGGACGAGCCCACCGGGGCGGCCAGGGATGGCCCAGGAGGCCCCGAGGAGGCCCCTGCTGATGAGCGCCCTCCAGAAAGCCTGGGGGAGCTGGCGCAAGGCGGACAGCTGCTCCTGGAAGGGGACGCGGGGGAGCACCCAGAGCCAGAGCCAGAAGGAGCCCTCCCAGGCCCAAGACAGGCTCCGCCCCTGGGCCACGCGGCAGCTCCAGCTGGAGTGCCTGACTCCCCCATGGGGGCTGGAACCAGGGAAGGGGCTGCTGGCGCCCAGGGCAGGGCACCGTGCGCTCTTCCTGGCAGGGTCTCTGCCTCCACACAGATCATGAAAGCACTGCTGGGTGCCAAACAGAGCCGCCCCAGCAGCCTCCCTGAACTGTCCGATGTGGTGGCCAAGAGGTTGAGCCACTCAGCAGGGGCCCTCGTCGCCTGCCTCGCCAGGCTCCACTTCTTTGATGAAGACCCTGGTTCCCCTGCCGACAAGGTGAGGTTCATAGACTCCCCTCGGTACCGGGAGCTCCTGAGCATCTCTCAGGCCCTGTGGCCAGGGTGCAGCCCTGGGCGGGACCAGCTGGACCCCAGCCTCGGGGAGCTGGCTCCACACAAGGCTTTGCTGGTGACGGAGGACTTCACACCCACGTCCTCGTCTGGCGTGGACGTCAGCAGTGGCTCTGGAGGCTCAGGGGACGGCAGCGTGCCCTGTGTCCTGGACGGCACCTTGGTGCCAGAGAAGACAGAGCTGCCCCTGGAAATCCCCTCCCAGGGGCCTGACTCCAGCATATCGGAGCACCCAGAGGGTCTGGGAAACCTGCGGCAGGGTTGTCCCACAGCCTCCACCAGCTCGCAAACCTGGGCCTGTGCCACCAGCAAGCCAGAGGCAGCAGAGGGAGGCGGTGGAGAGCAGCCATTGGACAATGCATCTGAACACGAAGTTGAAAAGGTGGTGCGAGGAGATGGAGGGCAGGTAGAGGAAATAGAAGGAACGAGAAGAGAAGAACCACAGGAGGGCACCCAGGAGGGAGGGCTTCCAGGGGAGGCTCCCGGCCATGGGCCCGGGGTGTCAGCAGCCGGTGCTGCAGATGCGGACCTCTGCACCCTGGAAGACCAGAGAGAGCACAAAGAGGAAGCAGCAAGACGCCCTGTCTCTGCAGGCCTGTGCCCCCCGGACGGGAGTGAGAACCCTCAGGAAACCCCTTGTCCTCCCAGTGAGGGTGCTTCCAATGCCAGTGACAGCCAAGGGGGCCCCAGGTCAGAGCCTGGTGTGGAAGAGCCGCCCGCAGCAGCCGGCGGGGAACGGGAGCAAGCCCAGGTCAGGTGGAGGCAGGGTGCGGGAGAGGCGGGCAGGTGCACTGCCTGCAGGGCGTGTCTGGACCCCGACCCCGTCTGGGTGTCCAAACTGTTGAAGAAGCTGCAGGCGTCCTTCCTGGCCCACTTGGCTGATGCCACAGCCCAGCTCCGGGCCCGCTGGAACCTGCAGGACCACAGGCTGCTGGACCAGATGGTGGCCGAGCTGGAGCAGGACGTGAGCGAGCGGCTCCAAGCCAGCACCGACAAAGAGCTCCAGAAGATCCAGAGCCGGGCCGGGAGGAAGGCCCTGGGGCCGCCCCGCGAAGCCCTCAGGGGCCAGGCGTCCCTGCAGACTGAGCAGCGCCGGCGCCGCCTCCACGGCCTGCGCAACCTCTCAGCCTTCCCTGAGCCGACCTGTGGCCGGGGGCTCTTCTCCTGCAGCCTGGAGGATGCCAGCTCTGCGCCCGGGGAGGAGTTCTGTCCCTGTGAGGCCTGCGTGAGGAAGAAAGGGACCCGTAAGTCCCCAAAGGACACCCCGGGGGCCGCTGGTGCGCCCATCAAAAAGGCCTTCGACCTGCAGCAGATTCTACAGAAGAAAAAGGAAGGGTGTCCGGAGGGGGAGGCCGCTGAGGGGGGAGGGGTGACGCCAGGTCAGGAGGACCCCGCCATGGCCGGGGATACCCCGGCAGCCAGTGGAGGGCAGGGGCTTGGATTGGGCCCTGGGCCTGGGGCGGATGAGGGGGACGAGGGTGAGGGGAACCAGGTGCTCAGCAGGGACAAGGATCCCCCAGGTGGGGAGGCAGAGGGCACTGGTGACCTGGAGAGTGGAGACAGTGTTGCTCGGGGCCAGGCGGAGCAGGGAGTGCAGGAAGGACCCGTGCAGGAGGACTCTGGGGATGGGCAGGACTGTGAGGCTGCGGCCTCCGAAGGAGGTGACCTGAATCCAGGAGGACAGGGTGATGGCGCCAAAGCTGCAGAGGTCCAGGAAGCTCGAGGAGAGGGGTGGCCAGGCTCAGAGGGCAGAAACGGAACAGAGATGGAAGGCAGCCCCTTGGGGCACCCAGGAGAGAGCCAGATCGGGGAGGCTTCTGAAACCAGCACCCCAGCCCAAGAGGACAGGCCCGCATCACCCTCTGCCCCCCGAGGAGACAGCCCCAATCAAAGGCTGGGCCCCCCGACACCTCCCCCTGCCTGCGCCTCCTGCAGCTCATCTGCTGCGGCCGTCTCCTCCCAGGAAGACCCAGCTGCAGAATGCCCAGGCGGGGACAGAAGGGGCAGTGATGCCGAGCCTCAGGGACTCCCATGCCCAGACAGAAAAGTCCCCCAGATGTATCCTGGAAGCTCCACTTCTGAGCAGGACGGGCCCCCTTCGTGCCCAGGGACCCCAGAGCAGGGCTCAGGTGGCGGCTGTGATGTACAAGACGAGAAGGTCGCCGGAGGCCTCACCAGCACCCAGGTGGGAGGCAGGGCGGATGGCTTTGGTGGAGACGACTTCGATTTCTAGAGCTCAAGCCGTGAGCTGAGGCTGCATCGGGGACTCTGTTTTCAGTGATATTTTGTCTGCCACCCTGAGCGACCCTCTGCTCCTGGAGACATACAAAGACCTGGGAAGAATCATGGGCTTGCCTGGAACACAGCCTACTCTATGCTGCCCCCGGGGCCTGAATCGCGGAGCAAAGCAGGGTCACCTGCACGGGGGACGTCACGGAGCCAGGGGGACCCTGCGCTCGCCCGCAGAGCAGGAGCAGGTGGCGCCCTGGAAAGTCCCAGGGCAGTCTCATGCGTGTTTCTTCTTGCTAGCCCGCATGGCCCTCCTCCTCCTCCTCCTCCTCCTCCTCCTCCTGCTCCTCCTCCTCCTCCCTCTCCTCCTCTCTACTCATCTCCTGTTGCCATTCCTCTTTGGCTTTTGGGTACTCATTTCCCCTGACTTCGAGGTGCTTTTTGGTTAGTTTTGAATGTATTTTGTGACTCTGCAGATGCAACTATTTGGCAAAAGCAGGTAAATTCAGGGTCAATGAATACGACTGGTTCTCCAAGTCCACATGTTTCTCCTTAATTCATGTTTTGTGTATATGATGGAATAAAACGCAAAAAAGCAGCAAGATGGTGATTGCCTGTGCTCCCACCAATGGAGATAACGTAGGTTAGCAATTCCATGTTCTTCCTTCCCATTGTTCTCGGGTCATTTTGTAGTCGAAATTGGTCTTTAGGGACACATTTACATGCTTTATTTTAAAAAACTGAACGATGCAATGATTTATTCCTTTTATCTCAACAGCTTCATAAACTTCTTTTAATACCCAAATAATGTTCCATTTTGAGAATATCAAATACTTTACTTCACTGCTTCCCTATTATAAGACCGTTTAGATGGGATCTGTTATTTCGTTCATCAGACTTCATTCCTGGACTTCTGAGCATTTCCTTAAGATTGATTCCCACGCGTGGCACTTCTGGGTCAAAGGCGATCAAGATTTTTAAGACTCCCAGTATCATGCGATTTGTTTTTCTGCAGGTCTAATTACACTACCCAGCTCACCACAGGGCGGTCATGTCAGTCCTTGGCATTATCATTAAAAACGAAATGTCATTTTCTAATATTATGGACAAAAATAATAGCACTTCAATTCAACGTGGTCCTATTTTAGAGTTGGTTACGAATGAGGTTAACATTGTATCTAAAGCTTTCAAAAACTTTTTGCAAGTGAATGACATGTGCATGCCTTTCACCCATTTTCTCATGAGGTCCTTGCTTTTTAAAATGAATTTATTTGTGTGGGCAGTGCTTGCTATAATTTTTTTTAAAAGTCCTTTTGCTATTTTAGAGACTTTAAAGCTCCCTCTTTGCACAGCCTGAGTATTAGCCCTTGGATGGGGCAGCCTTGCTCTGGCTTTCCTGCTCATACCCGGCCATCTGGTGGTACCAGATTTATTTAAATGGAAACCTGCGCTACGAGAACAGATGTTGTGCACTGGTTGCTAAAATGTCTCCACATGCGACAGACGTTGAGGTATGGTGCACCTGCCGATCTGCGCTCACCTTTTCCACAGATGGGAGGGAGCTTCTTAATCAAATTGGACATGCTTGTAGAATTTCTGCAGAGGGGATTCATTAAGGTTTTTGTAATAAAAGCATATATACATGATATATATATATATATATATATATATATATATATATCAGCTCTTGTTTACTTGGGGACAGAGCGTTGCCAGGTATTGGCTGCAGGACTGATGAAGACTACAAACTCCTGGTTACCTGTTAATCAGAGTGAAAACTGGCATCTTAGCAAGAAGCTCCCAGTGGGGGCTGGCATTATGGCGCAGTGGGTTACACTGCCGCCTGCGACACTGGCATCCTATACTGGAGCACTGGTTTGAGTCCTGGCTGCTCCACTTCCAACCTAGCTCTCTGCTAATGTGCCTGGGAAGGCCTGGAAGATAGTTCAAATATTTAGACCCCTGCTGTCCATTTGGGAGACCCAGATGGAGTTCCTGGCTCTTGGCTTCAGCCTGGCCCAGCCCTGGCTGTTGCAGCCATTTGGGGAGTGAACTGGCAGATGGAAGATCTTGCTTGCTTCCTCTCTTCTTTTCTCTGAAAGCCTTTCAAATAAATAAATAAATCATTAAACACAAATAAAAGAGAAGCCTCACCCCCACCCGGAATGATTTCGTTATGAGCTTGGTCTCAGTGTGTGACTGCAAGATTGCTCAGCCCTGGTCACTACCAGCAGGCACAAAGTGCCCTGCGTGCACATCTTCTGTGAGCTGAGGTCCCCAGCTGTCCCCTAAGAGCTGTCCCAATACCTCTGCTTCACTCCCTGCTGCCTCCCCAAGGCCCAGACAGCCAGCCCTGGCACCTGCTGATCTGTCATCATCATTCATAGTTTAGAGAGTGCCAAGAAAGAGCTGGAAACCAGGAGTTAGAGGACCTGGCTCAAGTCTCAGTGGTAGTGCCTCAGTTCCAACATCTGTGAAATGGGCTGAGTGATGTTGTCCTCACTGCACAGTGGAGAAGTGGCTGAGATAAAATATGAAATGTTGTCACACACACATAGGGGAAATCAATATTTTAATTATATCTGCTGAGTGTTCAGGGTATACAGTATATCAGGTACTACACTGGACTCAACTTAAATGGTCCCATTTATCTTCCCAACCTGTGAACCAGGCAATGAGGTGCTGCCAGCTGCATTTCACAAAGGAAGAGAGCGAGGCTTAGAAGAGAAACAGAAGCTGGCCCCGACTCACACAGCTATGGCCAAGCCAGGGCTGAAATTCACACACTTTACAGTCTTTGTCTCTTTCCACTGAATCAATTTTTTTCCACTAAAATCCCATCCCTGTAAATAACTAACTTAGCTAAAGGTGGGCAACACTTTGTTGGGTGAATTTCCTGCAAGATAATGGAGCCTTCAGAAAGTGGGTCAGACGGGATGTTTTGTCACCTGACGGCCACCTGCCACTTCTGTGCAGCCATCAGGAGCCGGAGCTCACCTGGCTCGATAAGGCCAAGGGGTGGCCTGAGAAGCTCTCTCTGCAGGACTCTCCTTTTAGTCACACTCACCTGCTTTAAGCCCCCAATATTCCTGCCCTTCATACATTGAAAACCTTGCTGTTAATGGACAGCCGCAAGCTTTCTCAGCAGCAGCCACGCGGCACAGGTGTCTGCAAGGTAGCATCCCCGGAAAAGGTCGGCCCTCCTGGAGCCTTGGCCTGCCCTTGAACTTGCCTCAACCAAACTGCGCCGCAGCACTCACAGCCCCGGCAGTGAAGCAGACGCTCCTTAGACAGGAGGGCTTCTCCTTGAACGCAGGAGGCGGAGAAACCAAGCCCTCCCTCCATCCTTCTTGCCAACTGGTGCAGTCAGGGCCCCCAGCCCCAAAGGACCACCTCTCAGTGGCTGAGAGCCCATGTCCAGGCCCCATGCCCAGAGACTCTGACCTTAGGGCTGTAGCTCAGCTCCTTGCAAACCCCCAGATGTGCAGAATATGCAGCGGAGGTGGTGAGCCCCGAGGAAGTCCTGCATCCTCCTGACTGAGGTCCACCCTTGCCAAGTGAGTCACCTGCAGCACACAGCGTGGAATGGGCGGAGCTGAGACCAGACCCTCCGGATCCCGGGGCCAGCAGAAGCCCCGTGCAGAACCGCCCCTGCATCCCCCACCTTCCTCTCCACCCAGGTCCCTGCATCAGAGTCTTCCAGGAGGGGCTGAGAGGGGCTGCCCTACCCTTTGTCACCATGCACTCGGCACCGGAGACTGCACCAGAGGTCTCCCACAACAGGTGGCCGGGCCGCCTTCCCCCTAGCTGCCTGGGCGGCGTGGCATACGACACTCCTGCTCGGATGAAATCCTCACCCAGGTGTCTGAGGAAGGTCCCAGCATGCACCTTTCACCAGCACCCCAAGGTCAAGCAGCAGTATAACCCCTGGGTGCCGGCGTTTGATGCCTGAACCTCACCCCACTAGGGCTGGGGCTCCCAGGAGAGCTGAGCACCTCTTGTCATCCCCACCCTACCAAGCGCACTGCTCACACTCACCTGCTCACACAAGGCATATAGGTACTCATGCACACACTCTCCCAGGCATACTGTCGTGTGGACGCAGGCATAGACGTGCACATGCATTTGCAATGCCTGCCTGCATACCAATTCATTCATGCATGTGCACACACTCACATGCGCACTCTTACTTGTACACACACTCATGTAAACATGCACACATGTACATGCTCATGTGCAGGAACATACATGCACCCTGCTGCTTGTACACACACATTCACAGGCGCATCCATGTGCACACAATCACGTGCACACTCTCTTGTACACGTGGACACACTCATAGTCAGTGCCTTCACTGCTCTCATTATGCAGCCTTCCCAAGGGAGTGTGGCCAACCAGAGTCAAGCTCACTGCCTCTCCGCATCAGAGGAATTAGGGTGGATGAAGAGCACTCTCCCACACCCGTGGCCCTTGGTGCCTATGGAAGAGCCCTCACCAGGGACAGACACAGCCGTGCCCTGCAAAGGCCTCCAACTCATTCTCTCTCACCACCCAAGCCACTCCAGGCAGATCGACCCAGACCTGTTTCCCAGTTCTGCTAGAGCCAGGCCTGGCCTCCTGGAAATCAGCCCAGAGCCTTCAAGCCTCACAGCAACTCTGCCTTGAGTCTGAGTTGAGCCCACATCACTGGGAGGGTGGCCACCCCAAGGTGCTCCTCCGGGACCAGTCCCCGCCCTCCCATTGCTTCCCCCCAAGAGGCATCTCCAGAGCCCACCTTGGGCCCCCGGGGCAGAGGCATCACTGCCCAAGGCTCTCAGTTGGTTGATGAGACCGAAGCTCCATGAGGGCCAACCGCCCTCCCGCCTCCCCTTTTGCCCACTTCTGCACTCCCGTGCCAGCTCCCAGCGCCCCCTGGCCCGGCCATCCATGCACCTGCCTTCTTGATTTGCAAATGCTGGAGCTATCCTCTGGTCATCCCACTGATGCCCCGCCCACCTCTGCTCTGTGACCAGCCCCACCCCAGGCCCTCCCTAGTCCCGCTCCGGCTCCTCCACCTGCCTCCCCACCCTCAGCCCAGGGCCCTTGCCCTCAGCCATGATCTCATGCACATGCTAGGTTCTGCTCCTACCTTTGGGCCGACAGCCCCAACCCCAGGCTCCTGCCCAGGTGAGGACCCAGCCACCACCTTGTCCTGAGAAGGGCACATCCCGAACAAAACTCACCTCCTGCCTTTGCCTGCTCCTGTCCCCACCCTCTGCCCTCAGACAACGCTGCTGGCTTCAGCTGCCCTGGCCCCCACCTGCCAGCTTCTCTCTCTCTCTCTCTCTCTCTCTCTCTCTCTCCCCACTACAAAAACTGCTTCAAGGCCTGACAGGTGCCTCCCACTACTGCCTCCACCTGCCTGCCAAGTGGGTCTCCCCACCCTGGACCTCCCATGTCGACTCTGTCTCAATGCAGTGGCCTGGCCACTCCTCCGTCTAAAGGATCAACGTCACTGTGTTGCTTCTGCTTGTGACCAAAAGCTCCTCCCTAACCAGCCAAGGTCAAGCACCATAAAGGACTTACAGTGCAGCCTCAAGACTTAGCCCAGCTGCCCTCATTCCCTTCCCTCCTTTCCCCCATCTCCTTCTGTCCCCCTCCTCTTCTTCCCTCTAGGTTAGACCCGAGGCCTTTAACAGCTCTCAGTCCCCTCCGACAGCCCAGGCTCCAGGGCCTGTGCCGAGTGGAGCACCTGCCCCTCCCGCAGCCAGCACCCAAAGGCTCCCACCACCACCACCCTGGAAGCGGCTCGCTGCCCCTCCCGTCCCTGCCCTGCTCACAAATCACCCCGCACATACTCCTACAGTGCCGTGAACCTTTTTGCTAATGCCCTGGGAAAGTTAGACATTTGCACTAAAACATTTTGCTGAGGCTTTGGGAAGAGGTCATTTTGCTAGGATCAGGCTGCAGCCCATCCTTGCCGGGCCTGCACCCCGAGAACTCTCAGAACGTGGCGGTTCTGAGCATGGTGGGCTCTGGAGAGCGACGCGGGATCCCTAACACACCTCAGCTGTGAAGGCGCTCACTCTGCGCATGCTCAACAGGGACGTCACCGTGCCCACCCCTGAAAGACCACGCTCACATCTAGCGGCGGCTTGGTGCCAGCTCCCCGGCAAGGGGTGAAGCCATGTCAGAGTCCCCTTGTGTTTCACAGAGCCAGACACAGTGAAGAAGAGCCCATGGGGATACTTGGTTCGGGGCTGAGAGAGCTTCCACCACGTGGGTAGTGCGCCGGCTGGGCAGGGGCCTTCCCGGTGGGGTGGTCCACAGAGCTCCAAAGGCTGCCGGTCCTCTGCTGTGGGGAGATAAGGCAAAGAACCTGCCACGTGGAGGTGACGACAGAGCAAGGGAACAAGAGGCCCGGCCGGGGCCTGGAGGGTGGGCCGGGAACAGTGAGGGTCCCTGGGGCCAAGTGTGCATGAACACAGAGAGTGTGCAAGTGTGCGGGGCACCGCCACGGAGGCTGCTTGTGGGCCCCAGGATGCCCCTGACTTTGGGCAGACGTTTTGAG